TGGGGTTTAAATCTGGGAATATTCTGCAAAAGCAGGATTGTTTTCAGACGTGTCGGACTAATTCATTATTATCCCAACATTAACCTGTTAATAAAGCAGCAAAGTCATGTTGCTTTTTCCTTTTGGGAACATTCTGAAAGAAAAAAGCTGTGTGATTTTGCTGCTTTATTAACAGGTTAATGTCGGGATAATGCTGAATTAGCCCAACATGTCTGAAAACAATCCTGCTTTTGTGGGATATTCCAGGGGTATAAACCCTGTTTATCCAGAGGATTTGGGTGCTTTGTCTCCTGTGTGATAAACTCCAATGTCACTTTAGTTATCATTTCATTGCTTCATTACTGGAAGGTCTCTGGAAAACTGCAGGAAGGTATGGGTTGGTTCTACATTGTGAGAGGAGATGCTTAATTTTTTCTACCACCCTATTTCCCAGTTCCAGAGGCTCACCAGGATGTTGACAAAATAACCTGCCAGTATAGCAGAAAAAATCTTAGAAAAATGGCTGCTGGAGCAAGTTAAGTCAGCCAGACTGAATTCGGGTTGCATTCCAATGGCGGTTTTTCGGAGGAAATCTGTGCGATAGCATCTGGATGCAGCCCAAATGTTACTTCAGTTTGGGTGAGGTAAGTATCTTTTTAATGCATTTTAAAGGTAGTGCGATAATCTCCCAAATTTAGTGCAGAATGAATGATAGATAACATTTTTTAAAAAATTGAGCTGATGTTGGACTTCAACTCCCATCAGTTTCGGCTAGCATGATTAATAGTTAGAAATGAAGTACTGCAGTCTAAAACATGCAGAGGGCACTAGATTGTTTCAGTTCTTCTCCAGCCTATCCATCCTTCTGTGCTGTGAGTTAAGTGAATACTAACTACAAGAATGTTCTGTGACAGGAGCAGATAATGCTAGCTTCTCTTAAACTATGCACAGCAGTATATATTAGGGTGTACAGACAACTCCCCTTCTGTTCACTGAAAACACTGGGACCGTGTACACCAGCCACATATTCAGTATTCCAGCAGCCAATGATTCTTCTGTGGAAGTAGGTGCTCCATGAAATGAACATCCATGACCTCAGTGAGTCAGGAATCCCACGTGTGCTTTGCTATAATCAATCTGGCAAGGGTTATCATATATAGCAACACAGTCCCATATTTCTTCTCATCCTCCGCCTTTAAAAAATAAGTCATATTTAATATATATATCTCCGGTCTTTTTTTGTAGCTAATTCCCAATATTTCTTGTATTGTAGCATGTATCTCGTTCCAAAAATCCTTCACTTTTTCACAGTTCCACCACATGTGGATCATCGTTCCTTTCTCTTTGTCACATTTCCAGCAAAAGGAGCTTTGTTGGGAAACATAGATAGGTAGAATAATTCTGTTTCTTTTCTCACCATTTGCACATTGAACATTTGCACACTGAACATCTGTGCCATCTGAACGACATTATATCGGACACGATGATCCAAATCTAAATATTAATACACAATTTTTAATCCTCAAAAGTTTGGAAGCTTGTTACTGTGGAAGCCTGACAATATCTGATTGTATTTAAAGTTTGCTCAGTCCTGTACTTTCTGATGCTACAGTGCAGGCCATTGGATGGTAGGATCTGTTATTATTGAA